TAGTTTTAAAACTTCTGATGAAGACTGAGACAAAGCTGGCTTTCTAGCAGGGTACAGTGTTGTTCCTGAGGTGCTGTGCTTGGTGGGATGATGCACTATGGACTGATGTTGCCATAAATCAATGCTAAAAGTAACAACATCCATTCCTGGCCTAAAGGTTTTAAAACATCAGCACATGTAATAAAAAGTAATTTTTGGAAAAGGTTCTCTGTATTGTCTTCAGGAGAGTGGTTGAACTATAGCTTATTAGGCAGAGGTTTAAAGCAGATCTAGAAAGATCTTTCATTTAGTCAGGATCTAATGAAGCCATTTTGTTAAGGCAGCATTTGTGAAATGGTCCATGCTTGCTTAAAGTTAGTCCTACTTTGACAGATGTATATATATATATATATATAAAAGCATGAAGGTTTATATATATAAATTAAATTGGAATGAAAAATTGTATCAGTGTGTCTGCTAAATGAAATTACTGTACTAGCAAAAAAGGAATATTTCATCTCAGAGGTCTCTCCTCATTTAACAATTCTGGAAAGGGCTGCCTTTCAAGTGTAGCTCCATATAGTAAGGGGAATAGTTGAGTGTCCCTTGGCTGCAGTGACCCTGGAAACCAAAAACCAGCTACAGGATGCTCTGGGAGCAAGGGAGTTTCACAAGCATCCCATACTGTAATTCAGTGTCATTGCTCTGTTGAACCCACCTTTTGCAGGTGAGTTTAAGGCACCCAAGATAAACACTAGTGAACACTAATTAGGGTGTGATAGCAGAGCAGAGGCCAACAGGCTTAAGACAGCAAACTTCAGTGAAAGTTGTGTTTTTCCCTTCCCTGTGGGTTGGAGGTTAAACACTGTTCTGGTGAAGGCTGATCTGTAGATTCTATCCAGGTCTGAAACAGTTTAAATGTATCTGGGACATTGCTCTGGTAATGGCTGTGATTAGGAAATCAGATTTTCCACTTCTAGTATTGTCACATTGAATCTTATCCTTGTTAAATTACAGCTGATGTATTGTTGTGGTCAGCAGAGTATTTTTGTTGGTACAACCCCCCAGTAGTTATTAGCAGTAGCAAAATTATACAAACTGCATGATTAAATTCCTAAAGAGCTGAAGCTTGCATTCAGTGCTGGAGGAAGGCTTCCTTTTTGCCTGTAGCTAATACATAAGAGGATTTTCTTCAAAATATGATTCATTAAAATGTCTACACTAATGACTACAAAAGGCAAAAATAAAGCTACAGCAAGAGTCCCAATGGGCCTCTCATTACCAGATAAGTAATCATGAGAGGTATGGGAAGCTTAATTAAATGTCCATGAAAGGGGTTGAATTTATGAACTGTTAAAAGCTGTTCTGGCAAAAGATTGCTAGTGATTAAAACCTGTAAAGTTAATGGCGATTGGTAACATCTGAAATTGATTTCCTTGTTCTTTGTTGGCTGCCCAATAAGTACAAATAATGAGGTTGTGTTTTGGATGGATTTGGAACGCTGTGATGAGCATCTGTGTAAACTATAACTCTATATTCAGTGAATTTCTGGATGAATTGCAGCGAGGCCTTTGGCCACACCTTCAGAGCCTATTTACAGTATTAGTGAAAGAAAATAGAGTGTATCTATCCCAAAAGCATCCTCCATCTGTGATGTGGGAAGAATTCTAAAAGCCGTTGTACGTTACTGAAAAATCAAATTATTGATAAAATTCTACAGAGGGGTAAAAATGAATAGACAGCTTTTCAGTGGTGCATAAATTAACTCTCCAGTGTCTTTACAATGTAAATTGTGTTTCCTCGGGTTGTATAAGTGCCACTTCATTGAAGTGCCCTTAAATATGAAACAGAGCTGGGGACTGATCAGGCCCAGACTTGTGTCCTGATTTGAACTACCTGCACAGCCCTGGGGAAGTGCCTGCTGTGCATTTTGTCCCTGTGTCACGGGGGGGATGATAGATGATGCCTTTGGAATTGGTGCTGGCAATATTAGGGTGGAGATTAGAATAGGAGGTTTGTCCCTGGGCAAGAGGGAGAGGGCATCAGTTGTCTTTACTATTCCCATGAGTGCTGGACTTGGCAGTGCTGAGTTAATGGTTGGACTTGATGACCCTAAAGATCTTTTCCAACCTAAACAATTTTGTGATTCAATGGGATTTATTTCTTTGAGAAATCCATGCCGAGAAAGACTGAAATGCCAGTGGCTTTGCCAATGGCTGACTGGATGCGCAGAGTAAGAACAGAGCAGTGTTATGGCACTTCTTCTTATACACTTGTTATAATTTGTGAAGAGAGAGATCCTCCACTTTCCAGAACTTGAAAAATGGAATTTCAAAACTAAAGAGCAGTTGAGCTTGCAGATTAGTGATCACTTGGTCCAGGTGCAAGCCTTCCTTGCTTTATGAGGCTCTGAATGGAGTCCCAGCAGTGTGTAGGCCTCTTGTCAGCCCAGCAAGGCACATTTAGCAGGAGAGCACTTGATGGCAGGTCCCAAGAGCCCTTGGAAAGATTGGTTTTGGATTGCTGGCTCTTCAGTTCAGGTAGTTCTCACCTGATCTAGGTACATTTCTTTATATACTTCCTTGGAATGAGACGAAAGCTGCTTTTTATAGATGTGTATCTGGTGCACGTGGGTGACAGCACACCAAGGGAGGGGTGGCAGCTCATCCTGCCTGTGTTTCTGGGTTGTAACATGTGTATTTCTTACCCCACAGGTCGGTGAGCTGGTAAAGGTCACAAAGATTAACATGAGTGGTCAGTGGGAAGGAGAATGTAATGGCAGACGCGGTCACTTTCCATTCACACACGTCCGTCTGCTGGATCAACAGAATCCTGACGAGGACTTCAGCTGAGTGTGGCTCAACAGTTGCTCTTACAGATGGGAACAATCTCAACTTGTTTTTATTGCAGATGCCATCAAGACTAAGCTCGGACCGACGCTGCAAGCGGTATTGCTTGGATAAGCATTCTGATAACCTGCAAACCCCTGGGACTCAACACCACCATTCCTTAAGCAAGGGTCATGTAATTCAGGGTACGACAGTAGATAACTCGTGTTCAGTGGCAGAACTAGGCCATGATTATAGGTTGTAATGCCTGCTTATGTCCACGTGCATGGCAGCCTGGACCTTGCCAGCAGCAGCAGCTGGAGAAAGCAGTGCTGTAGATGTTCAGAGAACATTTATAGCTCTCTCCGGGCCCATTGCTTATGTTGCTTCTTCCTCAGGCAATGAACATCAACCGTAGACAATTCAATACCTTGATAGAAATTTCAAAAATTTATCCTGGAGTTCTCTCCATGTTTTTTTCCATCCTGGGTTCTCTGTCCTAGAAAGGCTCTGCAGTGCTCTGCATGGTCAGTTAGCTGTGCACAGCACAGACTGATGCAGGGCCCGCTGGGGATGGCCTTATGATTTACAGATCCTTACCATTTTCATGGTAAATGACAGATCCAATCAACCTCAGAATTCTAGAAGCTTGTGGACACTAGATTGATTTCTTGAGTACTGTTGATGCTTCAAACATAGCAGCTGATTTTAATTTAAGATTTTTATTAACACACAGTATCTCCTTTTATCCACAAATACAAGGCTTATGGAAGTGTAAACCTCCATATCAGTGCTGAAAAATACGTGCATAGCACTTTAATATGTAGCTTTAAAGCAGTGTTTGAGTCACTAAATATACTAAAATATTGACACTGCTTTCCAATAAAATTAATTTGTGTAGGGCTAGTTTAATTTTTCTAGAATTCTTCAATATTGTACAATACTGTTACAGTACAAATCAGTGTCAAGCACGGTGAACTGACAAACCAAATATTAGTTTTATTTTAAAGACACTCTGGGGACTCTTCTGGTTTAATTCCCATCTGTAAAATATTTGATAGTGAATTCATGAGGATTTTATTTTTAATAAACTAATGGAAAATAATTGTGTGCTTCTGGATTGATTCTCAAAAGGAATAATAGAGTAAATATGGCTTCCTAGCTTATGATGAAAATCAGTGCATTGAGTAGGCAGTATTATGCACTGCTCGATGGTTGTTTTTTAGTCTGTTCTTCTAATTATCTGGTTTTCTCTAATATAAATCAGAATGGATTTAGTAAGTTTTGTAAACTGAAATTAAACACTGAAGTAACTCTCCCTTGCCTGTACCCTGGGTTATTTTTCAAGCACAGCACTCTGGTGACCAAACTAAATTTTGTAACTTTGACTACAGTATAATCCATGCAGAAGGGTTTTTCTAAATAGTATCAAACTGAAACTGTTGGGTTTGGTTGCTTCAAACCCGTGTGACCCCAATGGCACATGGGTTGCATGTGCTACAAAGGCCTTTGCTGCAAGGCACCTACTACAATACTGGTAACACTTTACCTCAGAACTCTGTAACATGCTGGAAGTTATAATATTTCTGTTCTATTTAAGTACTAGTTGTTTTACTTCAAAACTAATCCATCAGCAAGTCTGAGTAATGTTCAGGTTATGGGCAGTCATTAATTCCATGGACTAATGTTAATCACACTTGTCCATCACCAGTCTCATGAGCACTACTGAGGATTATTATCAAAAACTGACAGCAGGGACAGTGGGGTAAGAATGGAAACAAGGAATTGCAGCTCTGTTCTACCTTGGATTGCTATTCTGGTTAGGGTGACGTGCCAGTGATTGTGGGAGCTCTTCTAGCTTAGTACAAAACTTACTTTGAGGGGAAAAAATTTGAGAAACTAACTCTAGGTTCTGTAACTCACCAGGTTCTTTAAGGCTGATTTGTATTTTTCCTCTGATGTTACTGTAACTGTTTGGGGGGTTTTGTTCAATAGCTGCACTCTAAATAACAGACTTAATACTGAATTTTTCAGCTGCCCATATATGCTTATATTTTTCTTCACGTATTGCAAAAGAAACATAATAAACAGTGTGTCCTTAGAGTGACACTGTTCTGAAGTATTTTTGCCAACTGCAGTTAATGAAAGCCCATATATTTGTACCTTTCCAATCAGGAATTAAGATACCAAAAGAACATTTTTCTGGAAGTTTTATTATGCAAACCTTGCCTTTTTAATATGAAAGACATGAATTGAACTAACTAACAAATACCCTGCAAACTTTGTAGAAGTGGTTTTGGTAAGACTGTATAAATTGTGAATACTTGTACACTTTGAAAGAGCAAAAATGAAGAAACTAGAGGAGTCTTAATAGGTGCTGTTACACTAGAATCCCAAGTTCTTGTCAAGCAGTTTTTTTAGCTGACTGATGCATTAATGCAGCTCTTTTCCACTCCAGTTCTAAGCTGAAACGTGATTTTGTTTCATAGGTGATAGAAAGGAGTGTCTTTTGCATTTGGACGAAATAGACATTTCAACTTGTCAGGCTCTTCAAGGCAAATAGGTAGAACCTATGTTCATGACCATGTAGATGAAATCCTTTTGTGGCCTTTGTTTATCCTCTTCTATTTGTTCCCTCCCTTCTCCCTGATGCGTGCAAAAAAATCATTGCTCAGAATGTTGGTCACAATCTTTTGTCTCTTCCTTGGCTGTGGTTTTGGTCTCTTGTGCATAGGCAGGTGTTAGAACTAGAATAATCATTTCTAGAAATACACCATGAAAGCAGAATGCTCAATTACACTGTGTTCTTCTGGTGCATTTACACGTTATATCACACTAAAAAGTACAACTGGCTGCTATGGTTTTTTTAATATATATTTCATTTTGGTAAGCCCCAGCCTTTTTACTAATATATGACCTGGTAAAATCTTGTTAATCTGTTTGAATTGTATTTGTTAATAATGCAAATATTTCTAATCATCTTTAAAACGCTTCCTTTTTGTTAATGGTTTTGGGGAAGGATTCTAACCAAACCTGTTTGAAGAAAAATATGAACATGTGCCATTGTATTATAACACTATCCACTTTCTTGACAGTTAAAGTCCTTTTTTATTTTTTTGTAGCATGTAATGTATATGTTCATAGTATGTGAAGTAAATAAAAGTATAGCCAAAACTTTGACTCAGAGTCATTCTCAGTCATTTCTTGGAGAACTTGCATTTAATAATTAAAAATAGAAGGGGTATGGCCATTTTTAATTTGCCATGTTAGTATTAAAATAATTAAACACAACACTATAGAAGTAAGACAAACCAAGGTAATGAAGTTAACTTATCAAACAATAAAATACAGCTTTTTTTGATAGAAGGTGACTTTCTCTCAAGGGGAAGTATATTCTCATTTAAAAAAAACCCAAAAAACCACCTGTGAGGAATGATTAAGATGAGCTCTTGCTGTCAATTCTACCTGAACAAGTGTGTTAGAGAATAGTCTAGGGATTGTTTGGATGGGGTGTTTGGGAAGATAAAAAGCTGTTTATATATTCTTAGAAATACCAGTGAAAATAAAGTTACGCAAATGAATACCAGCAAGAATCTCCTGCAGGAGTCTACAAATGCTTCTGAAGAGCCGTTTTCATGTGTGGTGGTGTGAGAGCACTAATTCAGTGAAAGGCCAAGGTGTACAGGTGCTGTCAAGGGCTGAAAGACAGAAAATCAGGACCAGAATTCCATGGGCAGCAATGTTTGTAACATCAATCTGCATTAAAGCTACTTTGGCCACACTTCTTAAAATCTGCAAGGGGACAGTGGTCCTTAGGCCCCAAGGATAAGAGTCTTGATGTGTCTCCACACAATAAAGACTATTCTATGAGCTCCAGATGGAAAAAACTTTAATTTTTCATAGGTCGAAGCCTCCAGCTTTTCTCCAGTGCTCATCCACAACAGAGGTGTAAAGCAAAGGTGCCTTTAATGAGATGAGAGAATTTCAGAGCTCTCTGCAGCCAAAAAGAAGAGGCTGTGCCTGCCCTTCCCCAGGGCCCTGCCAGCCATCTCCTCTTGCTTCACCTTGCCCTGGTGTTTGCAGAGCTCCCCTGAGATGATGGAGCACAGGGCTCATGCAGAAAACTTTTTATTTTCCATTCCCTCTCCTTTAAACTGTGGGTTTTGGCTGCAGCAGTGGTTGAATGAATTCATGTGAAAGTTCAGGGGGCAGAGGGCAAGCAAGGATTGCATCAGCAAATTGTGCTGTGAGTATTTCCTTGGATTAGGCTGTTTATTCCTCATGCTTTGCCAAATCTCTGACCAATTTCCAAGTATCTGAATGCCATCTGTAATGAGTGCATTCAAAAGAATTTTAAGTATTTAGACAATGATACTATTAAGCAAGAGTATCAAGAATGCACCTCACTTCTGGCAATTAAATGTGCTTGAAGTGTCCTGATTTATTGATACTACTGAACTCTCTGCAACCTGAGTGCCTGCTGAACATGAGGATCACAGAAAAATTCCTGAATTGATCCAAATCTAATTTATTGTGCACAGCTTCCCAAGTCTCTGATGAAAAATAGACTTTTACAGCCAATAAAGTGCAGAAGTGATTTGCAAGTCCTAAAAATTTACAGAGAGATAGTATAGTGACTGGGCCCTACTGGGACCTTTTGAGTGCCTAACTTTGTATCATGTATTTACCAGCAATTTAGAAGTAAAGGTTTACAGTGATTCCCAATTTCAGCAAAATCAGCATTTTCTAATATTATTTCAAATAAATAAAAAGCAGATTTTTTTTCTGGACTTAACATCTAATTTTCACCTTAGTCAGTGATGTCCTTGTTTTTGTGTTTAAGAAATCCTGATTAGATGATCCTAATCTGTGAAAAAGAGGGCCTAAATATCCCTTGAAAACAGCGCACTGATTTTCTGAGCAGGTGATAAAAAATAATTTTGTCAAGTTTTTAGATTTATTTGTAAGAAGACCATAAGATTATGTTGATCTTGCAGACCCTAAAACTCTTATTCATCAACTGAGAAAAGTCAGGCCAGCAATGAACTATTGAAAAAATATGCTTTGAATGGTGTTCAAGGTGTGTGCCCTCAGTCACCCATCAGGAGCCCATTTCAGTGGGCACAATTAAATGGGAATACCTGACTTTGTATCCAAGAGGTGCCAGGGCCAGCTCTTTATCTTCTGTCAAAACCTTCAAAGGTCTCTGTGCACTTCTCCCATCAGAAGGGCTGAGCGTCTGTAGCCTGCACTTCCAAGGAGACACTGGGAAAGAGACAAGACTTTGTTCACAGGTAATCACAGAATCGTGGATTGGTTTGGGTTGGAAGGGACCTTAAAGTTATCTCATTCCAGTTCCTCTGCTTTGGGCAGGGATACCTTCCACAAAACCAGGTTGCTCCAAGCCCCATTCAACCTGGCCTTGAACACTTCCAGGGATGATCTTTGAAGATCAGGTTCATGCCAGCTGTGCATAATCCCTTTTAGTTTTATAAAACCATTCTGATTGCAGAAATCGAGGCATTATCTCAGTTATTCAAGTGAATGCTTCTTTTGTTTTTCAGAGTACTGTGTGAGAACTCGTGAAACATTCAATTTTACTTTCTAGATTTTCTAGCCTCTTGAAACTGTGAAATTACCACGTGCTATGCACTAGAGGTGATACTTTGAAGAAATACCCTGGAGAGACTGCAGAAACCTGTATCTGACCGTCTGCCTTTCGGTCACAGATCCACCCTTCCATGTGGAGCACACCCGATGATTTATACCAAAATACCGAGAGGGTAATTCAAACAGTGCTGGTAGCGTCTGAAGGCAGCACAAACACAGAGAGAACGAGCCGCACTGAGGGAAACGCCACCGGCGGCCGGGCCCGCTGCTTTCCGCTCGCCCACAGCCATGGCCCGGTCATGGCCCCGCCAGAACCGGGCGGGCGAGCGGCGGATCCATCCCCGCCATTGCCGGGCAGCCTCATCCCGCGTTATTCCTCATCCCGCCTCACCCTTCATACCGCTTCAGCCATCCTGCCTCACCCCTCACGCCGTCTCGTCCCTCGTCCCGTCTCATTCCTCTTTATTCCTCACTCCGCCTCATCTCTCATGTCGCCTCACCCCTCCTCACATTCTTCATCCCGCCTCACCCTTCACACCGCCTCATTCCGCTTTACCCCTCACCCCATCTCACACCCCTCACACCGCCTC